AATACCTGCTTACCAATGATGACAGAGTAACTGATACACAACTAATTTTCCTGTCATAAATAACTATAAAATTGGACAAAGTATATGAAATAACCACTTTAAGATGTTGTACAACAGGCAATGCGAAATAGTGATTGCTGTGTGAAGGAAACTAAAAAAACATTAGCTCAACAATCTCCCTGGCTTTCTGTTTGGAGGCATTTTCTGAACTGTAGTGGAGGGAGGGGAAACCCAGAGCACAGTGGTCATTTTTGGGAGCTAAGGGGAAAGAGAACAGACTTTGGAGCTCCAGTATTTGCTAGAATGTATGAGTCAGGGTCCGCATAAAAGGGGGCTGTACAGAACAGGAGATTCGGAAATCTACATTGAGGACCCGGAAACAAGCTTCACATGGGCAGGCCAAGAAAACATGAGGTCCAGCATGGAACAACCACTGAGCAAAGACAGCTACTAGAGGAAGAAAAACTACTGAGGAGCTGTGAATAGAACAAGTACTATAGCCTGCACAGGCTGAGAGACATTTAAATTCCAACCAATTAGAGAGCAGAGACCTCTTTAAACACCCACAGTGCTTAGTAGAGAGTCCAGAAAGGCCATGCCTTAGAAGGACATATTTCTCTCTAGAGTAAAGGCTACTCTAGACCTGCTCTAACAAAATTCTACTAAGACTCAAAGGTATCAAGATGGCTTAATTTAACTGCTTTCTAGAACAAAACTTAACACTCTATTAAGAAGGAAACTAAAATCACACACCATAGGAACTATAACGTTCAACATAAAATCAAGAATTACTTGATGTATAAAGACCACAGCAGAAGAAAATCAATCAAAAGAAACAAACTCAGAAAAGAGAGAAATAATGGAATTAACAGAAAATAACTTTAAAACAACTATTATTACTATGCTGAAGATTTAAAGGGAAATGTGAATAAAGTGAGGAAACAAGTAGAGAAACACAATAGAGAATGGAAATTTTACAAAAGAATATAAAAGAAAAAAGATATCCCCTGCTGGGTGTCATGGCTCACATCTATAATCCTAGCACTTTGGGAGCCAAGCTGGGAGGATCACTTGAGGCCTCAACCTGGTCAACATAGCAAGATGTCATCTTTAAAAATAAAATAAAATATTACAATAAAATAGAATAATAAAAAATAAATCTTAGAACTTTGTTCCCCACTCTAAAAAATACATGAAATGAAAATTTCCCTGGATGAGTTTAACAGCAAAAGAAAAGATCAGTGAATGTGAACAGAAAAATAGAAATGAATCAAACTGAAGCAGAGAGTGAAGTGGACTGAAAAAATTAACTGAGCCTCAGTGACATGTGACAATATCTAATTACACGCATGGAATTGGCATACTATAGGGAGAGACAAGAGAAGGAGAGCAGAAAAATGTTTGAAACAATGGTGGTTGAAGATTTTCTAAATTTGATTAAAAACTATATACTCAGAGACCCAAAAAAGCTTAATAAATTCCAAGAAGGATAAATCTATAGAAAATATCTCCAAAGCATATCATCACTCATTAGCTGAAAGTCGGTAATAGTAAGAAAAATATTAAAAGAAGACAGAGAAAATAGACACATTACACACAGCAAAAACAATCATAAGAAAAACTACTGACTTCTCATTAAAAACAATGTAGGTGAAAAGACAATAGAAGGACAATTTTTAAGTGCTAGAAGGAAACTGTCAACAATCAATATCCAGTGAAAACTACTCCTCCAAAATGAAGAGAAAATAAAACTACTTTTTTCTGCTGTCTTCATTTATTTTTCTCAGTAAAATTACATATGATTAGAGGTTAGACAGCTTTCTTTGAATATTAGCTAGAAAATTTTGACATATTTTAGTGCCTGAGTCTCATGATACATTATTTTTTTGACCAAAGCAATTAATAAAAAAGAAAAAATTTGTCACCCACTGGCCTGCATTACAAGAAATGTCAAAGGGAGGTTTTAAGTTTGAAGGAAAATAATTTCAGATGGAAACTCAGTTCATACAGGAATAAAAAGCACTTGGAATAGGCACTATATAGGTAAATATATAATATGTTTTAATATGTTTTTGTTTTTTGATTTTTTAAAGATAATTCATTGTTTAAAGAAAAAATAATATCAATGAATTGTGAGGTTTCTGTAAACGTGTAAAAGTTAAATGTGTGACAAAAACAGAAAAAAAATAGAGAAGGGGAAACTTTTAATTTCCTTGTGTTTTACAAACAGTGGGCTAGTATCAATGCAAGGCAGACTGTGATAAGTAAAAGATCCATATAATAAGTCCTATAACAACCATTAAGAATAATATGAAAAAATAAATACAGTGATATATATATTAAACCAATAGGAGATGTAAAATGGAATAGTAAAAACTAATCTAAAATTAGTCAGAAAAGAGGGAAAAAGAATAAAATATATATGGGAAAATATAAAACAAAGAGCAATATGGAAGTCTTAAGTCCAACTATTTTAATAAATATATTAAATGTAAATGAACCAAATACTTTACTAAAAGGTGAAACTGTGAGACCTTATTAAAAAGCATCACCTAATATGTGCTGTTTACAAGAGACTCACATATAATGTAAAGACACATTGAGCTTAGAAATGAAAATGATTGGAGAAAGGTATGCTATGAAAACACTAATTCTAAGAGTGGTGGAGTGGTTATAATTATATTAGAAAAGCAGACTTCAGGAAAATTAGTTTTACCAGAGATAAAGAAGGATATTTCATAATGATAAAAGTGTCAAGTCATAAAGAAGCCACAGTAATCATAACAGGGCATGCATCACTAATAACAGAGCATCAAAATTCATGAAGCATAAATAAATAGAACAAAAAAGAGAAACAGACAAATTCAAAATTACAGTTGTAGATTTTAACACTCTTATCTCAGTTGACAGAAAAACTAGACATAAAATCAATAATCATATAGAACATTTGAATCATCCTATCAACAAACACAATTCTAAGTATATTTATAAAACACTCTTCCCAACAATCAGAAAATCCATGTTCTTTTCAAGTGTTCATAAAACATTCACCAAGATAAATCTTGTGCTAGGCCATAAGACAAATCTCAATATGTTTAAAATAATTTAAATCATTTAGAGAAAGTTCTCAGACCACAGCAGGATTAAATTAAGAATCAATTGCAAAATATATTTGAAAAATCTTTCAATATCTGGAAATTAATTAAAATGCTTACTAAGACATAGGTCAGATACAAAATTAAAAGGAAATTAGAAAATATTTTGAACTAAATGAAATAAAAATATGACATATCAAAATTTGTAAGATGAAGGTAAAGCAGAAAGAAACAAGGTTTTAAATATTTACATTAGAAAATAAGAATGATTTAAAAACAGTGATCTAAGAGTCTGTCATAAGGAACTAGAAAAATCAGGATAAATCAACCCAAAGTAAGAATGAGGAAGGAAATAATAAGGATAAGAGCAGATATTTATTAAATAGAAAAGTGACAAATAATAGAAAAATTTAAAAAAAAATTCTTTAAAAAGATTAATGAAATTGATACCTCGTAGCTATACTCATTAAGAAAAAAGAGAAAATGTAAATTATCAATATTACAAATGAAAAAGGAAATATTACTATAGATTATTCAAACCAGAAACACAATAACTGAATACTGTTAACAACTTTGTGAGTAAAAATTTGGCAATTTACATTAAAAGAACAAGTCTCTTGAAGAATATAAATTATTAAACTTAACACAAGAAGATATAAAAAATCAGAATAACCCTATATGTATTAACAAATTTATTCATAATTTTAAAACCTTTCCACAAAAAAAAAACCATAGATGGCTTCACTGGTAAAGCCTATCAAACAACTAAGAAAGAAATAATACAAATTGTATTTAAACTTTTTCAAAAGTATAAAAGAAGGGAACACTTCCCAATTCATTTTATGAGGCCGGTGTTAACTTGATACCGAGTCATTCACATACATTACAAAAAAAGAAAATTACAGATTAATACATTTCAATAACACAGATACAGAAGTCCTCAAGAAAATATGATCAGCCCAAATCCAGCAATACATAAAAAGGCTAATTCATCATGACCCAGTGGGATTATACCGGAAATCCAAAGCTGTTTTAACACTCAAAATAAAATGAGTGTTATTAAACATATTGGCAAGATAAAATAATGAAAAATCACTTGATTATCTCATTAGTTGAAGAAAAAGCATTTGATGAACTTCAACACCCAACTATAATAATAGCAGTAATAATAATAGTATCTACCAGAAAATTAGATATAAAAGAAAATTTTCTCAATCTGATAAAGGCCACTTACTTTTTACAAACAGAAATAATATTATATTTAATTATAAAATACTGAATGCTTTTCCCTTAGGAAACAAAGTAAGGATGTCTTTTCTTAGCACTCATATTCATCCTTGTACTAGAGGTCCCCAACTAGTATAATAAAACAATATAAATAAATGAAATGCATAAGGACCAAAAAGGAAAGAGAAAAACTCTTTTGAATTACTGGTGACATAATGTATAGAAAATTCTAAGAAGTCTTTTAAAAAATCCTAATAAGCTGATTTAATATTATCACAGAAAACAATTGACAAAAGTCAATTGCTTTACTACATACTAGCAATCAAAACTTGAAAAATTAACCTATAAACATACCATTTACAATATCATAAAAAAAAAGAAAGTATAGAAATAGGAAAAGTGTGGTATTGGTGTAAAGATGAACAAATAGATTAATGAACCACACAAACACACCTCAAACATCTACCAGCTGCTCAGTTCACCCATATCCACCTGTATATTATGAGTCAAACCCAACCTCATCTGGCGTTACTCTTTCTGTCTCATTTCAGATAACCCACCTTCTTCTACCACACAAGAACTGAGAGTAGAAAATAAATCTACACTTATATGATCTATTAATTCTGAACAAGGTGTGGCCTCTAGAAGCTGAAAAAGGCAAGAAAATAAATTTCTTACTAGAGTTTCCAGAAGGAATTCAGCCATGCCAACAGCTTGGTTTTAGCCCAGTGAGATCCATGTCAGAATTCTGACCTACAGAACTGTAAGATAGTAAGTTTTTATTGTTTTGATCCACTAAACTTGTGTTCATTTGTTAATTAGAAATAGAAAACTAATAAACTAGTTCAAAAAATAGTATATTCATTAATTTATTTAGATAATTTTCAGATAACATTAAGCTGTGCATCTGTTTCATGCCAGGCATTGACCTAGGCATGGAGATTTGGGATTAAAATGCACAGCTCTTAACTTGAAAGTTGGGATCTGAAAGCAATGAGAAATAAATGTAGCAAAAACTATGATAAGACTAAGCACAAAATGCTGTGAGAGCACGTATAAGAGGCATTTAACCAAACTGAGGAGGAAATAATAGCCAGGAAGGCTTCCTGAAAGAAGTGATATTTTAACCAAAGTCTAAGTGATTAGTAGAAATTAATCTGGCAAAGATGGGAAGTGGGAATTTAACAAACAAAAATAATATTGAGTTCTAAGAGCCATAAGAGATCTTGGTGCATCCGGGGAACTGTGAATAGTTAGCTACTCACCGAGAAGTAAAATGAAATGCATAAGCAATCATGGGTCAATATACAGATAAGATGTAAACCTTAAGCGGAAAGAAATTATTGATATTGATCTAATTATCATTGAGTTATCATTTACCTGTGGCAAAATGCAGATTTTAGGGGTTATATTTAGCTATTGAATTTGTTTATATAACCCATATCCCAACAAGATACAGTCAATTCTACCATAATATGAAATATGCATTCCTAAAACTCACCATTGCCACATAAAATCATGCAATAAAAGTCACATCATAAGGTTTAGCACAAAAATGAGACTGGGCAAAACATTCAAACACTTCATCAGTGACACATAAAAATAGGTAGGAGCCTAATAAAAACACTAGTGCAGTTTTACACATGTTAGGCGATTAGGAAGTTCATAAATGCTACAGTAAATATGGCACTTTACCTTGAAAAAGGCCTGAAGCTGGCTTGTGTGGGAGTGGACATCAGAAGGGTTGCAGCTTGTGAGTTTTTGTGAGGTGGAGGAAGGAGGGTTATCTGAAAGCAAAGTTGATCTTATAAAAACTTTAAAACATAGGCATTCAGCATCAGGCTTTTATAAGCATAAAAATGAGCAGAACTATAGTCACTAGACATATTAGCAATTGTTCTTACTTGGACCAAAGCTTGGCCCAAAGAAGGAAAAATCTTTCTCTTGATTTTCTCATTGTCAAACTGAGGCAAACAGGTTCTTTCAAACTGTTTTTATTGTATAATAAGGGTAGCCAAAGGAAAATAAACACAGGATAGAGGGATGTAAACAAGATGGCTTAATAATTAGAGGGGTCTGAACCCATCATGATTTATTTGTGTGAATGCTGTCTCAAAACAATTACTTTTTATAGGCTCAAAAATGGCAAGGCACTTGACTGGGTCCTTCACATTTTAACTCCCAACACAACTCTTTGGTCTTTCTTTTTTGACACCTTTATCCCTGTGTTAATATCTCATCTAAAGCCTAATATCAGTGTCTGTTCTAAGAAAGCTGCTTTTTCTTTAGTTGAATAACACCTTTCAGATGAGACCTTATTTTATATCCACAGGGATGGGAACAGATCATATAAAACAACAAAGGAACACTAATCTGGTAGTTAAGTAACCTAAATTCTTGCCCTGGTTTTCTCACCAACTTAAATTCTAAAATCTCATCTGTGAAAATAAGGTGATTTACCTTGTCTGTCTTTAAGGTCCATTTAAGTTCAATACTTCTATGACCATTATTAACAAACATTATTGAGATCCTTCTAGGTTTAGAGTGTTTATCAAACAATCTATCCTCATTTTTAACAAGATAAGAAAGCTCAGAAAGGCCAAGTGACTTGCTAATGTCACACTTCCAGTAAATGGCAGAGCTCAGATTCACTTGCACATCTTGTCCACAAAACAAATGTCTTTGCAAATGCCACACTGTTGTCCTTAAAAAAATGGCTATCATAAAACAGACAGAAAAGATCCCATGGGATGGACACCTGGGTGCCCAGCACCTCCACCTATTCAAGTGGTTTCCTTAGGAGCTGTCATATAAGATCCTGGCAGCTTAGCCTCTGTTTGTTAGTTCAGGGTGAGACATGACTCAAATTAGGAAAGTAAGATTCTTTCAAATAATTTGGAAATATGAAAGGAAGTTAGTATGTCTGAGATGATTGAAGCCATACAATAAAAAACTCAAAAGATGTTAGCAGCAGTGTTTCCTGCCAAGTGAAGAATGCCAGTTTTCAATGACAGACAGTGAAGCACAGAGGAAAAAGACTGATATGGTTTGGCTGTGTCCCCACCCAAATCTCATTTTGAATTGTAATTCCCATAATCTCCACGTGTCTTGGTAGGGACCTGGTGGGAGGTAATTGAATCATGGGGGCAGTTACCCCTGTGCTGCTGTGCTCGTGATAGTGAGTGAGTTCTCATGAGATCTGGTGGTTTTATAAGGGGCTTTTCCTCCTTTGACTCGGCACTTCTCCTTGCTGCCATGTGAAGAAGGATGTGTTTACTTCCACTTTCGTCATGATTGTAAGTTTCCTAAGGCCCCCTGCAGCCCTGCAGAGCTGTGAGTCAATTAAACCACTTGCCTTTATAAATTAGCCAGTCTCAGGTATGTCTTTATTAGCAGTGTGAGAACAGACTAACACAGAGGGAGACTTCTGGCAGAATTTGGACCTGAGTTCTGGTTGCTTATGACATCCCGCTGCACACTGACCTTCCAACAGCTCAGTTATTCCTTCCTCCCTTGCACTCAAAGTGCTAATAGGTCCCCTTTTTTGCTTTGATTGTTGAAGGACCGTACATTAGCTTCACAGGGCTATTGTAACCAATTACTACAAACTGAATGGCTTAAAACAACAGAAATATATTCTCTCACAGTTCTGGAGTCCAGAAGTCCAAAATCGAGGTATTTAGAGGGTTAGTTCCTTCTGGAGGCTCTGGCAGAGGATTCGTTCTCTGTGTCTCTCAGCTTCTCGTGGCTGCTGGCAGCCTTTGGCATTCCTTGGCTTGAAGGCTTATCACTCCTGTCTCTGCCTCCATCTTCATGTGGCCTCCCCGACTGTGTCTCCGTGTGTTTCCCCCTTTCTTTTCTCTTTCAGGTAATCTTGTTTTGGGGCTTAGGCTCCACCCTTATCCAGGACGATGTCCTCTTGAGATCATTAGCTTAACTGTATCTGCAAAGACCTTTTTCCAAACAAGGTCACATTCACAGGTTCTGGGAGCCTCTTCTGGGGGGCCACAATGGACCTCTAGCAAAAGAGAATTGCTAATTGTAGTGGTGACTAGTTTGAAAGTTTAGTGCTATCCATCCTAGTGAAGTTTTTCATGTGTTTAATTACATTTTGCCTGCTGCTACTGCTACCTTTTTTTTTTTTTTTTTTTCCCTGTAAGGGGAAAAAAAACTATAATCTGAAGAATGAACTGTGTTGGCAAATACGTAAATACACCCATGAATATTTTAGATTTATCTTTTTGTGTTACAAAGGCAAGCAAGATGACCAAATGATCTCAATTTTCTTAATTCAGTGATGCCAGTGGTAGATAACTGCAGATAAGACAAACTACCCTATTCCACTTACATCTTCCATGCACTGCTGAAAATTCATTTGTGCCTTTTTATTGCTTCAGGACTGGTATTATAACACCTTCAAGAATGGTTTACTAGAGAGTTCTGATGTCTAGACACCACATAGGTATGTTCTTATTTGTTTTGTTTTTGAATAAATAACAAAAAAGAGGAAGTGTGTTGGTGTTTAGTGTTTTAACCAATATAAATTGCCTTCTTTTTCAGGGAAATGTTCCCTAAAGTCAATTTCCATGTAACCAGCTATTTGCTGGGGTAACAAATTTACCCCATCCTGGAATCTCAAATAAAAAATCCATTGTGATGCCATTATATGACTGGTTTTATGTTTACTAGCAGCTGTCTTCCCATCTTCACTATTGTAGAGTAAAACTATTATACTGGTATTTAAAAAAATCCCATAACAACAACAACAAAAATACAAAGACCCTGGTTTACAAGAGGTGTTTTATTGGGAAAATACTACAGGATGGATTCAATAAAAAACAAAAACCATGCCTTCCGCTCAGTATAATCTTGCGGATGCCGTCCATCTTCCTGATTCACTGCTGAGGTACTAGAAGGCATCCAAAAGGTTTAAACTTTGTGTTTTCTGTATTCTGACGGTTTCACAAGGCAATTTCCAAATGCATACTGTCTTTAGAAATCAAGTTTGAATTCAGACAGAGCTCATCTTGAATCAATCATGCGAGCATTGTATCTGATAATAATATAGATTCTCCCAGAATGGATCCTATGATGCCTCTTCCTTCAGCCCCTTTACCTTGCTATATTGTAACAGGTCTCCTTTGTGTATTATAGCACCCTGTTTTAACACAGTCAATCCAAAAATAGGAATGCCAAGCTCTTGCAACGTAAAATCTCTTAGTGTGGGACTAAAAAAGAAGATACAGCTTTCATAGAGGGACAAAAATGCTATAAACAGGTGATGGCTGATGTGTTTGGGGTAGAGTTAATTACTTCTTTGTTAATTCCTGATACACTTTAGAAGGCTCTTTAACAACTCACTTTTGACTGTTTATGTATCTTTTTCTTTAAAGAGCCACAGATTATTAAGTTAAAAAAAAAAAAGTCCATACTTTTTTTGTAGGTAACAGTTTTAGCTGACTTTATAATTTTCCGTCCTCAAACTGACTTTATCCTTTTTAATGATGTTCATGCTCTTAATCAGGACTATATAAACAATCCATATTACAAATTTCATAAAGACATATGTGAACATTTAACAGGCTTTGGGAGACATTTGCAGTGTAGAATATCTAGCTGGATTTTCTTCCTTGGAGATTATCCTGTACTAGTAACAAGCAGAGAAAATATTTCCCACGCCTGTGAGTATTTAGGAGTTCCTTTGTGTGCCTAGATCTTTTTTCCCCCATACAGGGGAAGTGGTGTGCACTGGGGGTAGGCAGAAGAAAAATGACAAGGAGCAAAAGCTTTGCTGCTGTGGGATCAAATTCCAAGCAGAATTCCTTCATACACTTCCATTTCTGTGAAAGTGCGGTGTGGTGCTCGTTTTCACTGTATCTGCTCGCTTAATTGTTTCTGCCTGTTCATTTCATTCTTCAGTGAAAACATTAGCCTAAGGGACATTTGAAAATCAAAAGGTAGGCTTGAAGTTTAACAGGAAATGAACAGCGGTGTTGCTGCAATATTAAAGTAAAAGTTTAGAACCAATAAGAAATAGCCACAATTCTAAACTCAACACGTCTTTTCTCCTTTTTGTTGTTTCCTTTGCTCTCCCAAATGTCAAGATTAAAGAAAAACATTCCATGGTTTCTACATGTTTACATTGCAAGGGTGTATAAAGGATGCTGTGAGGTATGCAGTAAAATAACTTCTCCGAGATACAGTAAAGATCCAGAGATTTTGAATTATTATGCAGGAATATATAAAATCCAGCACAGATTTCCTGACAGCTATAATTATTTAATTCTTTTAGAATTATCTTTTTCCACCCCCAAACCTCCTCTTGCCAGAATTGTTGAGATAATTAAGGAAGTGGTGGGAAGGTTAGAATCTGAACCATTTCAAAACCAAAACTGACCCGATAATTGTCCAATTCTGTTTCACTTACAATGCAGGACTATGACTTCTGTGTCTGCATGTGTGTGCTAAAGTTTGACCTCTGGTAGGGAAATTGTCTTCAGACAGAATAGAACTTGAACTTCAGAAGTCCAATGGTCCCCATTGTAGTTGCCCATTTACACTCAACGTAGCATGGCTTAATTGTCACAAATATCAGTTATGCTAAATGCTGGTATTCTAACAGCTCAAGGTGAACTGTTGTTACTGTTCATCTTTTCTCTGATCACTGAGACAAAAGATCAAACAGAAATATTTTTAAAAACACTCTCAGAGGATCTCAGCTTAAAATACTGCCTCTTTTACCACCACATTCTCCATCTTAACAAGGAAATCAAACAATTCGAGGAGA